GTAGGGTCCAGTGGGACCGTGTGCATAAAGCAGGGAGCACATGCCTGGCGAGGGCCAGTCTGTCAGTCTCTGTCCCTGAAACTCACCAACCAGGGGTACAGCCCACTACACAGCCACATACAGCCTGCTACCCGCCAGCGTTCTGTGCAAAACACTGCACCCAGATCTAATGGGGCCTTTAGATCTACCAGAAAGATGGGGAGAGCAGGGGGGTGGAGGGGTGTCGTAAGTTCAATGACACCACAAGGAGACAATCAGACAAATCCAGAAGGTGAAAAAACATTCGACAACAACCTAATCTCGCCAAGAGTCAATATGCTGCAACACAGGAAGAGGGGGAAGAGAGGGAAGGTCGTTCCAAATCCAAAGAAGTTAAAGAGACAAAATTTATAATACGGTATATTAATCGTAACTGGATCCTGGTTTAAAAAATAACGCTTCTGAGGCCATTAAAACGCAACCTAGGTTTCAGATGCTACGAGGGAACGAGAATTCTATTAGGCACAATAGTAACTTCGTGGCTATGTCGGAGCTTGTCTTTTTTATTTTCTGACCTGCTGCTGAAGTACCTAGAGGGAAATATTCAGAGATAAAGCGTTAGGCTGTTTTTCATACACTTTGAAATAGTTCATAAAAATATATAAATGTAGATGAAGCAAATATGACAAAATGTTAGACCCACTAGGTATAGGTGAGAGGCCTCCGGGTAGAATCATTCTATTCTTTCTACTTTTCTGTGTTTTTCATAATAAAAAAAGTTTAAGCAATAAAGCAAAATGAAATGAGGGATCCCAGGCAAAATACAGATATGATGGCTTCACACACAAGGAAAACCCGGACTGTCAAACCACGGTAAGCAGAGCGAGGGTTCTTGGGCAGCTTGCATTGCAACATCAAGTAAGGGAAGAAACAGGTCATATCTTAGAAAAGGAATGGGTAAATTCCGTACTGAACTCTTCAATCCACCCGAAAAAGCGAACGATAACAACGAAACCCACCCACGACTTCGCCTGCGATGCCCCTGACAAGGCAGGGCCAGCAGCCCCCCAACAGGGGCATGGCTTTTCTCTGAGGTGCTAGGAGTGAAGGGACCTGTTATGAAAGCTCCTTAGCCAAGCCCAATGGCCCTGGACCTAGAACTCAGCCTCAATGAGAGAAATTAAGGAGCTGTACCACCTGCTGACAAACTGCATTCCAAAAGTTAAATGACTGCCAGGACAAGAGGACATTTGTGACTCAAGTGACGGTGATCATGGGGACGCAGGGAATGTCCAGTGGCAGGACTCAGGGGGAGAAGAGTCTGGGGGGTGAAGGAAGGGAAGGGCAGGGTCACCAGGACCACCCAGGGACACAGAGCGAGCAGGACTCAGCTTATGGCCACCAGGTGGCGCCAAGCTCCGTCCTAATCTGTGTAAAGCTCAGCTGTTCAGGTTCTGTGCTCTGAAACACCGAGGTTTCACGCTGTACGTATTATCGACAAATGATGACATATGTCTAAATGTTTGTTCCAATTTATTTAAATCCACCATACCATCTCAGAGAGTGCTGTCTCACCCTGACTGGGGCTCTCAGTAAACTAAAGTGATCTGTCATGAAGTGTGACAGGCCGGTCACTTGGTGGACATCATCCCATGTCCTCTCAACCCACGTGCCAATAAGAAAACCGTGCCTCAGATAATGACCCACGCAGCCTGCTCATGGCCAGGCGGCCGCTAAGCGGGGGAAGTGGAGTTCTTCCCACTGGCCGCCCTGATGCCCGAAACAGGAGCCTGCCTCTCCCGCTTTCCCCAGGCCCACTCCACGGCCATGGTCCCAGGACTGCCTGGCAGCGTCCCTCCTCAGCCCCTGCCCGCAGCTGAGAAAAGCTCCCACAAAACCGACATCCACCATGAGATGTGGCGGGACTGCAACATCAGGCTATTGTGAGAGGAGTTCCATCATACGTCACTCGCCTCTTATTCAGTCGTCCCTTAGTGCTGAAGCCCCAGCTAAATGCCATTCAGGTGACCTACTTGGGATAAAGCACAGGTCACCTTTCACACCATCCCTGCTGAACCCACAGAACTACAGACACCGCTCTCTCAGGAGGGGGCTTTCCAGAGGAGAATCGCGTACAGAAAGGTCCTGGCATCGTCCCAGCTACAGGGACAAAATTTAAACATCAGGTAGCTACAAGGCAAGTTCAGCCTCAGACTCAAGGTTTACACCATTTTCTCCCTTGAATGTCACTCAAGAATTCTAACATTTCTGAAGAACTTAGTTGACCATCACAGAAGACTACAATTACTGGCATTTAATCAGGAATCGTCCCATTTGAACTTCCAAATTCATACAGCTCATTGCGACACAGCAGCAGGCGAGGTGTGAGCACAGGGCACACTGCCAGCCTCTGACATAAACAGGGCAGGTGGCGGACCAGCCACCCACGTGCCCCCAGCAAGCGCTTGGAAGGCTTTACCGCGGAGTGTCTTCTGAGAACAGACCAGAGGGGGGCGACAGCGGAAAGGCCCTTTCTGTAACCATCCACATCACTGGCTAACGTGCCAGCAGCACGATGGGGAAAGCATTGATTTAGATGCTAGCACGTTGTACATAAAAAGGCACGGAAAGGTTTAACAGAAAGCTGCGCTATATTCTTCATCATGCAGCTTAGCACATTAAAGCGAAGCGAGGATCAAGTCATCTCTGATCTTCAGGACACTGTGAAGCACATCTGGTGAATATTAAAGTCGTTAGAATAATAAAAAAGGCATAACGACACTGAGAAGTAAGCATTTCATACCAAAGTGGTGAGGAATTTAAACGAAAGGATACCTTTTGCTTACCTATTTCTGAAGCCGTAGCTTCCTGACCTGGCTCACTAGTTAGCCCAGACGCTATGGGTAAAATACCGCAAGGGTCTTTGGGTCTGGCTGCTTCCGCTGGGATTTTTAGGGGTTTATGCCTCCGCAGGACTCCCTTCAGAAGGGGTCCATAGGACACCCCTCCCCCTTTTTATGGGCTGCCCTCCCTGGGCTTTCAGGACACCTCCCTCCAAAGCTTCCTCCAACTTGCAGGCCTTCTGTCTCGCCTTACACCATGAATTAAAGTAACAGATAACTAAAAAGGTTAAACATAAAAATGTGTGACAAAACACAAATCTTCATCTCTCCAATCTCTGAATTACAAAAAAAAAAGACACTAGCAGCTTCCAGTGCATAAAAATTAAACACTCAGACAAGTCAGAAACCAAATCAGTAGAGATGAACTGGGAAAAAAAAGTAAGAAACAAACACTTTCTAAAAAATTGACAGGTGTCCTCAAGGTACAAGGAAGTCGTGCAAGTTAAGGAGACTGAGGGNCCCCCCGCCCCAAAGGCTCTCCCTTTCTGCTCCAGATGACCTCCAGCCCCCTGCTGCACGGGTGCCTCTCTCCAGTCTGACATCTGCTCACTAACGCACTCACTGCCCAGACTCTGACACACAGTAGGCCTTCAACAAACGTTTCCTGTGTGAGCAAACAAACATCAGCCCTCACCTGGCCACAACCCTGATGCCCGATCCCAACACGCTCACACCCAGCCTGGTCCCTGGGGTTCCTGGGGTAGGACGCGCTCTGCTGGGAGGCACTGCATCCTCCAGGCCTTAATCAGAAAATGCTAATGTGTGTTTGACCATGACTTTCATTAAAATGCTGAGGAAAACTATGCCGAAAGCAGAGACTAACCAGGTACAACTTACGACACTAAAAGAACGTCACAGACAGAAAAACCATGGTAGCGACAGCGTTTCACGTCGTTTAAGCGTCTTCTTTGAACATCGCATCCGGGTGGCATGCGCTCAGCCTGCGGGACTCCCCAGCAGGGACCCCGAAGCTGATACTGCCGGGGCTCTGCCACTTTCTCTCGCTCAGACGGAGCAGCGGGACACAGGAGAGAGACTGGTGCTATCAGTGACTAGAACATTCCATCCTAGTTTATGTAAAGAGTGAAAGGGAGCCACTGGGCACGTCCAGTCCTGACATACAAGGATAAGGCCCTGGACCCCGCGGGGGCCACAGACCCGAGAAGGGAGGTGCCCGCAGACGGCAGGTGCTACGCCTGAGGTGTTCGTCTCCCCGACAGGAGAGCAGCGGGAAGGGGCTGTCCTTACCTTTCTGCGTCACAGCTGGTCCTGGCTCAGCACTGGCACACCACAGACTAGGTGACTGGTCATCTGAAACACTAGCTGAGTTAGCATTAGCTTCTTTTGTTCCTGACACAAAACAGTTCAAAACGAGCCGTTAAGACTGTGCCCAGGAGGCCGGTCCACACAGCACCCACTCCTCTATGCTTTGCCGCGTGGGAAAGTGCAGGCTTTCAACGGATGAACCACAGGCGGCTTTTAAAAACGTGCACCCAGACCAGTGGTCCGGGCGAGGCCCTGGGGTCAGGACAGGGGGAAGTGGGCAGGCCCCCGTCCACTCCACGCAGGCACTGGCCTGGGGCCCCCACCGCCAACGCTAACATACCGAAAGCTCCTCAATGCCTGTCTGCTGATGACTGACTGATGTGCCAATGGTTATAAAAACAGAAATAAGTACTAAATGCCTGAGAAATATTTTTCCTATTAAAAACAAAAGGGGAGCAGGGAGGTGCTGGAGGAACAGGTTTTAAACTGTGGCAGGACCCTGGGCTAGAAATGATTAATCACTGAAGGACCCCCCCCCCCACTGTCTAAAAATAAAATTAGAAAAATGTTCCCTCTCCTGAAACACATCTTATAATTTCTTAAAAGTATTCAAAGAAATAGTTTTTATCAGAATGAACCTGTCATTAAAGGACTACTTTATTTTATGTAATAGAATTACATAAAATACAAGTATATTATAATTTTCTAAGGAAATTTTTTTTCAGTCTATAAAAGTGATACAGACTTACATAGTCTGGGTCAAGGAGTTTATTATGATATCTCATAGAGGGCAGTCAAAGAATCAGTGTGAAATATTAAGTTCCAAAACAAACAAATCTAAAAATAAAATAAGTGTCAGCTTGGTAGCTATAGATTATCAATTTTAGAAGAAAACACTCCAATAATTTGAAGTTCTATTCGATTTAAAAGTATCAAACCTTTTCCATATGCTACAAAACCCACTAGCATAATAAATAAATTACAAATGTATTATCTTTTTCTGTGGTTCAAGGAAACCAATGATACTTTGCACAATTTTATCTTTTCAAAGTTCTGCTGGTATTCTTAAATAAGCTTTACTAAGCCCCAAATTCACACAAATAGAAAGAACATAAAAACACACTATATATTCACTAATAATACTACAATCAATTCTTACTCATAGAGCGCAAGTTAACCAACTTGCCAAACAATGGCTTAAAAGTAATACACTAATGGGCCGGCCGAGCGGCACGTTGGTTAGGGGTTGGCTTAGGACGCCAGCTCTGAGCAGCAGGGCCCCAGTTTGGATCCCAGATGAAGGCCAGTGATGCTGCGTCCTCTACAGCTAAGATGCTGAACAGCAGCTCGACCTGGAGCTGGACTGCCGTGAGTCACCGACGACGGCATAGGCTGCAGTGGGGCTGGCTGGCAGCTGGCGTGAACTTTCGTGAGCCACTGTGAGCTGCCATCCAGGGGCGGGCGACTGATCTGCCTCACCCGGGAAGAACGCAATCATCACAATACCAACATGGGCCAGTGAAGTGACGTCCTCCACAACTAGACTGAAGAACAAAAGGACAGCAACTTG